CAGGTACCATTCAGTTCTTTTAGTCTTATGACAAAGAAGGCAGTTGTTCATGGAAGCAATTAGATGTGCATTCCGGTTCCCCTTCTATTCCTTACTCTCCTTCTTTCTCTGGTACTCCAGATAAATAATGACCACTTGTACCTTAGATGGCTGCTCATAAGCTTTTAAGACCTTAAGCCCTGCACAATGAAGAGAGAGATAGAATAGAAACACTGAAAACAATATTAGGCCAATTGACTGGAATGCTCCATGAAACCATGTCCCAAACCTCTGAACCAAGAATATAAATCCCATCAAGTGTTTGGTTGTATGTTAACAGTATCAGCAGCTATACTTGCTCTCTTTTTTTTCCTTTTTTTGTAAAAAATGTATAACACAACATTTGCCAATTCAGCCTTTTTCACACACATAACTTAGTGATATCAGTTACATTAATCATGTTGTACAACTATTTCTCTTAATCAATACCAGATTTTCCATCACCATAAACAAATCCACCAGATGGAAGGAATACACACAGTCACTGTACCAAAACGAATTGGTCGATGTTCATCCATTTTAGGAGGTGGCATATGATCAAGAGTCAATGATTTTGAAAAAGTTGAAGTTGCACTGAAGGAATTGGCAAAGAACAAGGCTCCAGGAATTGACAGTATATGCACTGAGATGTTTCAACAAATGGATACCACGCTGGAGGCACTTACTTGTCTATGCCAAGAAATTTGGAAGACAGCTACCTGGCCAACTGACTGAAAAAGATCCATATTTGTACCCATTCCAAAGAAAGGTACTTCCACAGAAAGTGGAAATTATCGAACAATGTCATTAATATCACATGAAAGTAAAATCTTGCTGAAGATAATTCAAAAACAGTTGCAGCAGTATATTGACAGAGAACTTCCAGAAATGCAAGCTGGATTCAGAAGAGGACATGGAACGAGGTATATCATTGCTGATGTCAGAGGGATCGTGGCTGAAAGCAAAGAATACCAGAAAGATGTTTACTTGTATTTTATTGACTGTGCAAAGGCATTTGACTGTGTGGATCATAACGAATTATGGGTAACATTGAGAAGAATGAGAATTCCAGAACACTTGATTGTGCTCATCAGAAACCTGTACATAGACCAGGAGGCTGTTGTTCAGACAGAACACGGGGACACTGCATAGTTTAAAATCAGGGTGGGAGTGTGTCAGGGATGTATCCTTTCAGCCTAATGACTCAGTCTGTATGTTGAGAAAATAATCCAAGAAGCTGGACTCTATCAAGAAGACTGTGGCATCAGGATTGGAGGAAAACTCATTAACAACCTGCAATATGCAGATGATACAACTTTGCTTGCTGAGAGTGAGGATGACTTGAAGCACTTACTGATAAAGATTAAAGACTACAGTCTGCAGTATGGATTATGTCTTAACAAAAAGGAAACAAAAATCCTCACAACTGGACCATTCTCACAATAAATGGAGAAAAGATTGAAGTTGTTAAAGATTTCATATTTCTTGGTTCCACAGTCAACACCAATGGAAGCAGCAGTCAACACATCAGATGATGTATACAACTGGGTAAATCTGCAGCAAAAGACCTCTTTCAAGTGCTGAAGAGCAAAGATGTCTCCTTGAAGACTAAGGTGCACCTAACCCAACCCATGGTATCTTCAGTCGCCTCATATGCATGTGAGAGCTGGATAATGAACAAGGAAGACCAAAGGAGAGTTGATGCTTTTGAGTTGTGGTGTTGGCAAAGAATACTGAAAGTACCGTGGACTGCTAAAAGAACAAACAAATCTGTCCTGGGAGAAGTGCTGCCAGAATGCTCCTTGGAAGCGAGAATGGCCAGACTTCGTCTCACCTACTTTGGTCATGTTGTCAGAAGGGACCATTCCCTGGAGAAAGGTATAGTGGAAGGTCAACATAAGAGGAGCCTGGCCCTCAACGAGATGGATTGGCATAGTGGCTGCAACCATGGGCTCAGGTATAGCAAGGATTATGAAGTTGTCACAGGATTGGGCAGTGTTTCATTCTGTTGTATATAGGATTACTATGTACTTGACAGCACCTAACAACAACAACAACATAAACAGATATTCACTACTTTCCAAACCATGGTTCCACCTTTTGCCTCCTTCCTGCCCCTAGTAGCCACCTTGCTCTTTATGCCTTTGCATATTCTTACCATTTCTTATAAGTAGGATCATACTTGTCCTTTTATGACTTGACATTTCTCTCAGCATGTCTTCAAAGTTCATCCATGCTATAGCTTGTATCAGGACTTTATTTCTCTTTATGACTGAGTATGTATGTACCATATTTTGTATGCATGTAGTATATTTTATTTATCCATTCATCTATTGATTGTTATTTAGTTTATTTCCACCTTTTGGCTGTTAGTGAATAGTGCTGCAATCAACACTGGAGTACATATGCCTGTTTGTTGTCACTGCTTTTTAAGTCCCTTGAGTATATACTTAGGAGTGGAATTGCTGGGTCATATGGTAGTTCTGGAAGCTCTGGGCCGCATAGTGCCTAAGGCATTTGACTGCTAACCAGAAGGCTGGCAGTTCAAACCCCCCAGCCACTCCTTGGGTTGGGCAAACTACTTCTGTAGTGATACTGCCTCGGAATCCCAAGGAGGGGTCACTATGAGTCAGATCTGACTCCACGGCAGTGTGTTGCATTTTGCGTTGCATATGGTAGTTCTATTTTTAATTTTTTGAGGAACTACCACACTGTTTTCCACAGTGTTTGTACCATTTTGCATTTTCACCAGCAGTATATAAGGATTTCAGTTCCCCATATCCTCACCAGTATTTGTTATTTTTCTATTTTTATCTTAGCCGTCCTAGTTGGAGTGAGGTAACATCTTCTTGTGATTTTGATTTGCATCTCTCTAATGGTTAAAGACATTGAGCATGTTTTTTATGTGTTTTGTTGGCCATTTGAATAACCTTCTTGGTGAAGTATCTACTTGAGTTCCCCCCCCCTCCTTTTTTGGCTTGTTTTTTTTTTTTTTGTTTTCCCTTGGCAGGTCTGGTTTTGGTTTGGGAAGTTGACATACTGGTCACATCTAGTCTCTAGGATACTGCTTACATCTTTCTTCTGCTGATAATCTGCCCACTTACTCTTTTTGTCTTAGGGGATTTATGCCTTTTTTAAATGATCATTTTAATAGAATTTTAGGAGAGAACAAAGAGAAACTTTTCTCTCCCAAACCATGATTAAACAGAAGTTGACCCTTGTTCTGTCTAGTTATCAGTCCCCTCCTCTTGGCAGTTTTCTCTTTCCAGTCTAAAATCATAACCCTTCACTTCATCTGTTTGGCACCATTATCCTTGACATCATTGCCCATTACTCTTCTCTCACACCTGTCCAGCAATACCCCAGTCCTGGATCATTCCAGTTGTCTGGCTTCTCTGCTCCAAAACACAGTCTGCTGGATATCTTTGGAGGAAATCATACAATTCAGGTTAATGCTTCTGTGAATTTATGGTCAGCATTCTAAGCTTGGCCTGTAATGCTGTATTCACTTGGCCATCTTTCTCTAGAGAAAGTGGCTATTTCGGTCCTTCTGTTCTCTTAAAACCTCCTGCCCTATCACCTTCACCTTTTTTCTCAGGGGAAAATCTCTTCTCCTTCACTGAGAAAATAGAAACCATGAGACTGTCTTACCTGTAGTCTAGTGCATCCCTCCCTGCCTGCCCATATCACTTTATCCTGTTATTCAGAAAGATTTCATTATATTACTGAGCCCCTCTTTTTCTCCTTTATCATCAGCTTTTCCCTCACTACCAGCATTTTCCTTTCACTGCCAGTTAAGTAGGCTCAATCATCTCTCCTATCTTGACCAGCCCCTTCTTGAGTCATAACTACTTTCTGTCCCCATCAGTCATCTTCTGAGCTCCTCTTTCTCCTCCATAGCCACATTCCGTGGTGGTATGTGTTACCGTCTTTTGTTCAATCTTTGACCCATTCCTTTTCACCTTCACCATTCTATTAGAACTGCTTTAGGCAAGGTTACCATTATTTTTATAGTTCTTATTTATCTGTAGCTCTAGTGGTACAGTGACTAAGGCATCTGTCTGCTAACCAGAAGGTTGGCAGGTCAAACCCACCAGCCACCCTGTGGAAGGAAGACTGGGCAATCTACTTCCATAAAGATCTACTGCCTCGGGAACATAATGGGGATTGCTGTGAGTCAGAATCAACTCGATGGCAGTGGGTTTGGTTTTTTGGTTTATTTGAAATTTATTAACTAATCTCTCTTCTCAGTCAAAGGCTATTTTCCTTTGACTTAGAAGAGAATACCTTTCCCTATTTTCTTTTCTTTTTCTCTGATGGTTATTATTCTTAGTTCCTGCTGTTCCCTCCCAACTCAGCCTACCCTCTTCTCCCCATTCACCAAAGTTGTTCTTCCAACGTATGAAGTACTTGGAGTTCCTTGAATGCTCCATAATTTCCTTTTACCGTTGACTTTTTCTCCCTTCCTCCCAGTGGGCAACTTTACATGCTGTATTTTTTACTATAATGTCCACTCCTTCCCCCTAGTCTCCTTCAGGATGAGTACCAGGACACATCCTTAATACCCACTGTGTCACAACTCCTTTCTCTGCTGTCCCCTACTCCCTTCTGGGCAGGGTGCTTCTCTTGTTAGAATACTTATTTTGATCAGTACATTGAAATTGCCCAGTTTTTTGTTTGTTTTCCCCACATGAATGTGTGAGATCCTTGAGTAGAAGAACAGTAGAACAGTGACTTCTTGACTCTTGTGTCCCTAGTAGTTTATAGATACATTACACATATGGGAGGTGCTCAGCAAATGTTTATCCCATGAATGGATCACCTTTTCTGGTTATTGCATTAGAGGGAGCTCTAATGGACTCATACTGGGCTTTCTTTCTGTATTGCTGGATTTGAAAATCACCCATGGGCTCCTTTTCCTAGAGACTGGCTTTGTGATGATCAGAATGCCCTGATTTTAACAGTGCATATTTTCTTTTTAGATCAGTGACACTTTGTTCTTTGATACATCAGATGATGAGGAACTTCGAGAGCAGCTGGATATGCACTCAATCATTGTCTCCTGTGTCAGTGAGGAGCCCCTCTTCACTGCAGATCAGGTAGAAGCAAGACCCCTCCACAAAAGGAAAAGGGAACTTAGAGCTAAAAAAAAAAGGGGTGTGTTATTGTGGTAATAAGTGATGGGTCGTGAGAATTTACTTATTTTTCTTATATTTTATGGTTATATAGGCTTAACAGGTAACTCTTTCATTAAAAAAAAAAAAAAAAGGTGTATGTAATCTGAAGCACGTGGGATTATGTGAGTCAAAAAGATTTTCTAAAGTAGGCATTGTTAAACAGGACAGCGATTATTGGTGGTGGTGGTGGTGGTGTAATGTGCCGTTGAGTCATCTCCGACTCATAGCAACCCCTCCTTGGGTTTCTGAAGCAGTATCACTATGGAAGTAGATTGATTGCCCAACCTTCCTTCTCAGGAGTGGCTGGTGGTTTTGAACTGCCAGCCTTCTGGTTAGCAGTCAAGTGCCAGACACTACGCCACGAGGGGAAGCTTATTACTTAAACTAAAAGCAGAAAAGAGATAGTGAATTTCCTACTTTTCTTTAGATTTATCCAAATGTGGGCAAATGACTGTGTGCGTGTGTAGAAATTTGTAATTTTCTATAAAATCCTTGGTAAAAATCATTAACATTTATTAGAAGTACATGTTGTTTACCCTACGAAGAAGTGAGCATTATTCGTTCTGTGCAATGTGCTAATAATGTCAACCCTGCATTCATTTTAAACTAGCTGAATCAGCTTTCTCATTTTTTGAATACTCTTCCCATCTCTGTTGTGTTGTCATGATGTGATAGAACTTCTTTCTGAAATAAAATGTTCCATGGCACATGGACTGTGAATTCTACTAAACAATATTTTCAGGATGCAAAGGCAAGGCCAGTGAGGATATTTACTATGGCAAATTTGGGAAGAATACATTTAAAAGAAACCAGGAAGAAGAATATTGCATGCCCCTTTGTTGTCACTGTGTCATTTGAATGCTGCTTAGTTATATTTGTGGTTGGATTGTTCCAGGCTGGAAAGGGTGCAGTGCAAAAAGCAAGGTAGTAATAGGTCAGGGTGGTGTCTTGAGGTGTGGCATGGTGGTATTCCAAGCAAAGAATGACCCTCAAAGTTCATTGTCCCCTCAGAAATCTGCCATAGTACCATAAGCCATTCTTGTTTTTAAGACTTGTAGAAGATTCTGCAGCCTCTCACAGAGTGTCATTGTACTTAATAATGCCTATTTTGGAAAATCTTCCCCCTAATTAAGGAGCTCTGATGGCATCGTAGTTAAGCACTTCACTCCTAACTGGAAGGTCAACAGTTCAAATCCACCATCTACATCATGGCGAAAGATGTGACAGTCTGCTCCTACAAAGATTGCAGCCTTGGAAACCCAGTGGAGCAGTTCTATTCTGTCCTGTAGGGTTGCTGTGAGACTCAGTGGCAGGGGGTTTGGTTTTTGGTTTCCTCCTACTTTACATAAGCCCACCTGTATCAAATTTACTTTTTCCCCTTAGTATAAGTGTTACCTGTTAAGCTTGCTAATTCATAAAACATATTAAATATGCTCATGCTATTTTACTCCTTTATTTAATTGTATTTTCTTTAATAGTTTTTTTTTTTTTTCATTCTTAAGGCCTACTTTCTAACTATTGAGTAATTTTTCTGACTTTTCATTAAATTTTCTCTGAGTTCTATATCCTTCTCCACTTTTATGTCCTAAAACAGGATAAGATATTGTTGTAGGAGTTCAGAAACAGTGCATATCATAGTAGTTCTCTTTATTGCTTAAGCGGCAGATGTGTTTATGAAAAATCCCCGCTTTTGTGCAGTTATTTTTCTCTTTAAGCATCTACATTTCAAATAATTTATGAATATCCCTTTATCTTTCACTGAATTAATATACATGAAATTCTTTTTCTGCTGTTAAAGGAAAGTTTTGCCATCATAAAGGTAATTTCTTGCTTTATGTGTAAGTTTTTTACACTGTTGCATTTTCTAAATTTTATGTCAGTTTGATTAAGTAGCTTTAGATCAAGCACTTGCATGGGGTATATGGTAAACTTTCTGTTACTTGCTTTCTTTTACGTGGAACTTTATGATCTATCTGGTTCTGGAAATCCTGTATATGCTTATAGCATTATTTAATTCTGAGACACTGCAAGATCTGGTAGGGCTGACTGAATCTTGGTGGGCATGCTCAATCATATTCTGGTTAATTTTGTATTTATTGTATGTTTAAGTTATTTTGAAAACTGATAGACCATGTTCACGCTTCCAATCAAAATTTTGATTGTTCAGAACACCTGCTCCTGCACACTGTTGATTAATAGAGAATTTAGCACATTTTTACTCCTGTTCTCTCAGGTGAATGCCATGTTGCAGATAGATGGGTTTTCCTATATATAGCTGATTAACAGTGGTATGTATTTTTTCGAAGGTTATTGAAGAAATTGAAGAAATGATGCAGGAATCCCCAGACCCAGAAGATGAAGAAACCCTCACACAGTCCGACCGGCTTTCAATGCTTTCCCAGGAAATTCAGACCCTTAAGCGATCTAGTATGAGCAGTTATGAAGAGAGTAAGAAAACCTACTTAAAGCAATGCTTTTTGTGTTTGCTGTATTTATTGAACATATACTCATAGTATCTCCAGAGAGCTTTGATTCTCACAGACTATACCCTTCCCTAGCCCTTGAAAAATACTCTGGGAATAGTTTTGTCATTGCTCAGGGACTGCATGTTCTTCACCTTTAACCTTGTTACCTATCCCAGTGCATAGTGTAGAAGGGTACTCAGTCGTTATTTGTTGAAGTCCCTGGGTTGTGCAGACAGTTAATGTGCTTGGCTGTATCTGAAAGATTGGAGGCTCGAGTCTACCCAGAGATGCCTCAGAAGAAAGACCTGGTGACCTAATTTAGGAGAAGCAGCAACAGAAAACCCTCTGGAGCACAGTTTGTTTTTTCTTTTTAATTGTGATTTGGGTGAAAATTTACAGAGCGAATTCATTTTCCATACAGCAGTTCACATACACTTTGTCTCATGACATTGACCACAATCTACTCCAGCGCAACAGCTCCCCTCCCACTTCCTCCTGATAGTTGCCTCTTCCCTGAGTCCATCCCTCCATGCACTCCTGCCCCCTGAGCTGTCTCCCTGTGCATAAGCAGCCCTTCTTTCTCCCATGATTGTTCTTTCCAAGGAGTGTATCTACCTCAGGTAAATGTTCACCTCATATGCCTGTATTTTGTTTGGCTGGAAGCCACAGGTGTGGGTTCAATTCCAGACCTGATGGGCAGCTAGGGGCCATAGTCTCAGTGGTTCTACCAGGCTCTATCAGACCAGCAAATCTGGTTCTACCCCCCCTTTTTTTTTTGCTCTGGAGCACAGTTTTAATCTGATGCTCATTGGGTCACTGTGAATTGTGATTAACTCACAGTTAATTAACTCAATGGTAGCTAGTTAATTATTTGTTGAAAATACTGAGTGGTTGAGTCTAATCTGTCATAATTCCTACTTGTACAAATGGTTGACTTCTGTACTACTGTGAGGAATTTTAGGAACCATGGATCTGTTTGATGTCTAGGAGAATAATGAACCATAAAAGTTGCACAATTGGTTATCATGAAAAGTTTCTGAATTACTGTGACCAGCCCATGATAATCCTGAGCCTGCTTACTGAGTGTGCATCTCATCTTTGCCATATGACTGGTCTTGCCTTGAGTAGACAGTGATGGGGTTCTTATCTGCTCAACTCATTATATCACGAGTTTCATCTCTGTGACATAACCAGAGGTCTGGAGTTTGGTCTGCAGTCCCTTTGGGTTGTTCCAGTCCCACTTTAATTTGTGTGGCTTCGTTTCATCCCATGGAAAGTCAGATGGGCTGAAACCTTCTGGATGGTCTGATTTGACCATAGTGCTGTAGATTTGGACTGAACGTTGAGTCTCTATCTTTCATGCGAGGGAGAGAAAGAGGGGGAAAAAAACCCACAAACCGGTTGTAGTTGAATCAGTTCCGACTCATGGCAACCCCAGGTGTGTCAGAGTTGAATTGTGCTCCATAGGGTTTCTAGTGGTTGTGACCTGTCAGAAGTAGGTTCCCAGGTCTTCCTTCCAAGACAATCTGGGTGGACTTGAACATCCAACTATTTGTGCCACCCAAGGATTCCTCATGTCAGGGGATGTATGAGAAAAAGCTGAAACGGAGTCTTGGGATATTTTTTTCTTTTGTTTTCCTCATCTCGAACAAAGATTCTCACCTTGGGCCACATGTGATTATATACTGATTCTATTTAATTCTTTCAATCTAACCCCTTCTCTCTTCAGAAACATGCCAGAACCCTACTGAATTGCTTACAGTTTCTTATCAGCAGGTAGTTTCTGTACTCTCCCCCTGCTTTTGTGTTTGTTCTTTTCTTGTACAAGCATTTTCAGTCTTGGCTGAAGTACTGTTCATGGAATGATTGATTTAGACAAGTGAACAATTTTGTTATATTTTTCTTCTCAGTCATTTGAGAAGTGACTTTGCCCACCTGCCTCTACTCAGACCTGCCCCAGAGGAGTTTGGATCCTAAGGAGATCACGAGCAGTCTATTTAATTGCTTAGAATATGAGTTTTGCTCTTTGGCATAAAACATCTGGTTGTGCTCCCTTGCAGCATTTTTATCCTAGTGTCTGCTGTGTTTTGTTTCTGGTCACAGGAGTGAAAAAGCTCTCAGAGTCTGAATTAAATGAACTCCTGGAAGAAATCGAGACCGCCATTAAGGATTACTCTGAAGAGCTGGTGCAGCAGTTGGCACTGCGAGATGAATTGGAGTTTGAGAAGGAAGTGAAAAACAGCTTCATTTCTGTTCTTATTGAAGTGCAAAACAAACAGAAAGAGCACAAAGAAACAGCCAAAAAGAAGAAGAAGCTCAAAAACAGCAGCTCTCAGAATGGCAAGCACGAGAGGAGTCATATGCCTGGCACAGTAAGTTACGTTTCTCAGGAGGTGTCGCCACTGGAAACGGTCTGTCGGGGATGCTGCACCAGACACGGGCCCGCCAGGCCACACACGTGCTGTTACCACAACACTGAAGGGGTTCTGTCCAGGAATACCACTGCTTTTAGCTACCTCAGAAGGTGTTATCTTGCTGAGGTGTATGAGGATTTTCAGGAGAATGCAGTATTGGCATGCATAGGAGGGAAGTAAGTAGAAGGAAGAGGAGGCAAAGAAAAGGATATGTTAGGGAAAAGATGCTTAAGCAGGTACCCATTTTCAGTACATCAGAATGTTAATAGTGTTATTATTTATGTTTGACTGGTAGACTACAAGTCATTTTCTTTTTGCTCTTTCTTACTGTTATGAAATAAATTAAAAGGGGGCTGCTTTAGAGGTAGCAGAACTGTGCTGATCCTAAAAGCACAGATTGATTTATAATTGGGTTCCTCCTAACCTATCAGTGAAGTGGCATGACGTAAGCTGTTTGGCCTAGGGTTGGGCAGACCAGAATATTACTGGCTGTTGAAAACAAGTTTAGAATCTTTAAATCTTTGATCCTTCATATATAGATTTTTGTTTTCTGCTTTATTTAATTAGATTAGACTTCATCATAAGCGTTAACTGTTGTTTATATGAGATTCATTTCTTTATTGATCTTATGGCCATTGCATTTTTCTTTGATCAATTGAGGCTTTGTATATTGCCACCTTGATTTTGTTTGTATGTGAAGAAATGCCAGTTTTATTTTTATTTATTTCGATGATACAAGCTGAATTTATTAAACTTGTTGAGCAAGAAAGCCACTATTATTTTTAGATAAGATGGTTGGTTCCCATTTTTATTAAGGGAATTTTTTTTTTTTAGTTCATAGTATTGAAAGCCTGCTGATAGAAAATCCACAAACTGACTAATTAAGATTTACAAAGATATAAATTTTGTTTCTGGTTAAATCTTATTTTTTTTCTGAAGAATACCAGTGAAATAGGCCTTATTACCGGATTTTCTGATGACTCCTAGAAAAAGAATGTGGTTTTTGGTTGCTGGACCATCAGGGAAGGCTTAATACAGACAAAAAAAATCTCACCATTTAGCACATTCATCTTTCAATTATGGCCCATGAATCAACTGAAATTTTCTTAGGGTAATGTCCATTTGTACAGAGTTAGAAAGACTGTAGCTTATAAATCGACTTTGAAAGAGTTCTCAGATATGAGGTACCAAATATTCTTAAGAAATGACCATATTGATTAAATAATTTTATGTTTACATCTCATATTGTAAAAAATTTCACCTGTAAGGAAATTGTCTCATTACATGAGTGTGAATAAATAAAATGCTTAGTTAAAAAGTTGTAGCACAGTTGGTAATTTCTGGATATCTACTGTAGGGATTTCATGCAAGTCTTCCATTTATTGGTGTTAAAACTTGGCCAAGGAGCATAAATTTGTCCTTAGAGGGCTTTAAAGGCTTCTTTCTTAACTCCTATTTGGAAAAAAAAAAAAAAATTGGTAGATTGGCTCCATGTGTAATTTTTCATGATGTTTGTCTTGAGAAACAGATTTGGCATGGAAGCATTAGGTCAAATTGAACTCTCATTATTTTGTCTTAAAAGACATTCATTGCAACAGTAAATTTTTTCAGAATATTTCTACTCATGAAGTTGCTTCTTGAATCCTGATCTACCATCCGTGTCCAAGCCTTTAATCATGTCAGTGATGGCATTACTAAGCTGTGGTACTACCTAGTTCCTTGTATCTTTTAAAATGCTAGAGAAAGACTTCCTCACCTATGTCCCTGAAACCTGTCATTCTGGACACAGTAGTACCAAGACCAAAGCAGTGGCCGAGAAGTTGGTTCTGATTCTTCACAGTAGAACTGTGCTCCATCATAAGGTTTTCATGGTTTTGACCTTTTGGAAGCAGATTGCCAGCCTTTTCTTCCAAGGTGCCTCTGGGTGGGCTCAGCCTTTCAGTTAGTAGTTGAGTGCTTAACCGTTTGCACCACCCAGTGACAGAAATAGTGATAGATGACTCAACAGCATTCTAAGGTTAAATGGCTGGTTGAATAAATGGATCTGAAAAAATATTAAAACAAACAAACAAAAAAATGAAAATACAAACCCATTGCCCTTAAGTCAATTCCAACTCATAACAAACCTATAAGACAGTAGAATGGCCCCATAGGGTTTTCAAGGCTGCAGTCTTTATGGAAGCAGACTTCCACATCTTTCTCCTGTGGAGCAGCTGGTAGATTTGAACCTTTCAGTTTACAGCTGACGCGTATTTTAACCATTTGCCACCAGGGATTCTTCTGTAAAGATATTGCCGTCCCAATTATTTCATGTAGCCTGCTATCTGTGAGTTAGCTATCATCAGCGATACTAATTTAATAAATGGTGACCTCTGTTAGAATAGATCCAACTCAATGGCAGTGCATTGCATTACGTTTTGTCAGAATATCGTCTGTTTTCATATGGATGTCATGTAATACTTGTTTTTCTAATAACATCAGTCATTTTTCTTTCCTTCTTTTTTGGCCTTCCTTAGACATTTTGTCTCATTAGCAGGTCTTGGACATTTTTTTCTTAATCATGGAATGGATAGATTCATAGAAACAAAAACATGCATATGTAGTTGGAGTAATACTTTATTGTTAATGCCAGCTTGTTCTCTTATTCTCATGAAATATCTGGCTAGGAGTAGAATTAAATTCTATTTGGGATTAATTTTTTGTACATATTTTGTTTTAAGCTTTTACTGAAAAGAAAAAAAAATTGTAGCTTAGGGTTGTTATTTAGAGCATTAGAAAAATGTCCTTAGAATTTGAAAACATTAAATATTAAAAAAATATATTGAATATCTTATGAAAATAAAATGTTATCTTGATTTGAGTTTTAATTTTGAGGTAATCTGTTACCTGTTGGGTAAGATAAAATGAAATTCATTCACCCAGAAGATATTTATTGAGTGTTTTCTTCATGGCAGGTAATATTCAAGATGCAATAGCAAATAAAACAAATAAGGCCTCATGGAGCTTATATTCTCAGGAGGAGACAGGTTATAAACAAATAAAAAAATGAGTAGATAACATAATTTCAGGCAGTAAAAAAATGCCACCAAGTAAACAAAATCCTGAGGGTGGGATGGTCGAGAGTATTGCTTTTGGGGCACTGAGTTAGAGAGGGTGGTCCCTATATTGCTGCTCCTGTGCTCAGTAAAAGAGGGCTGCCTGTCCTTTCAACCCACAGGTTGTAGGGGAGGTTGGAGTAGTAGATCCTTTCTTTGGGAAATGAGACTAAAGACAGCAGGAAAGTTTATATCTCCTGTGTTCTCTTTTGTAGCATCTGGAGGAGCAGAGGGATGGTGGAGGGGCACTGTGTATTAATCGGTTAGGTGACCTACATAGATTTCTTGAACCTGACCATACTGTTTTAGATCTTTGGTGCATCTGTGTATGCTACTCCCTTTGCCTGGAAGACTTTCCTTTCCTGCCTTCTGTCCACTTGGGTATTTTTTTTTTTTTAAACTCATCCTTTCAAATTATTATCGAGTATTGTCTTCTGTTGTTTAGGACCTTCCCTAATGACTCTTCCCCCAATGCAGAATTGAGCACTCTCTTGCTCTTTTGGAGTTATTCCTTCAGGTATTTCTGTTAGCACTCTCTTACCATATTGCAATGGTTGTCTCTATGTTAGTACTTTAAGGAAAGGGGATTTGACTTTATTTTTTTGATGATATCCTTAGGTCCAATACTAAGTACCTTACAGATTTTTGTTGAATAAATGTATGAATGGAAGCCAGACTAGCAGCTCTATATTTCTACATGACCTTGAGTCTTTATGCCATGTGCCATACCTATGGAGACTAGTATATTGATGAAGAGCTGTTTGAATCCTAATCCTGCCACCCAGTACACACTACTCTGAGATTTGGAGGAATTAAGTGAAATAATATATGGAAGACAAGCATGCACCCTGAGTAACTGCTAATTGGTCTATATCCAACTGCCTGCTACACATATCTCCTTGAATATATTTTAGGGATCTGAAATTTATCAAACCAAAATGATCATTTCGTTGAAATAGAATTTTCTCTTTTATTTTTTTCTCATGGTTAGTAGAAACACAATCTACCTACTAAGTGAAACAAGGAGAATTGCTAGGTCAGAGACTATGCAGTTTTAAATGCTTGGCTGCTCAAATTGCCCTCCAAAAACATAACCCAATAGCAACGTAAGAGAGTGATCATGTCCTCACACCTTCCACCAACAATGGGTTTTGTCAGCCTTTTTAATAAATATTGACCTGATAGGAAAACAGTGTTCTACAGTATGCTGATCTCTTGACCATTTGTATTTTTTTTTTTTCTTTTGTGAGTTACTTGTTATGTCTTATATGAGATACTTGTTTATTTGTGAGAGTGGACATACTTTCTAACATTATAGTACCAACTGTATTGGAGTCATTGGCTTAAATGTCTGATCTGAAGACATGGAGGCTTCTCAAAGACTCATTCACATTGCTTCCCCAGAGCCTCATCTAATTTCTGAGACTTTGCCCCTTACCTAATGTATGTTTGTTGAATTGAAACTCTAGTGTAAAAGAGATTGAATCTCAGAAAACTTGGACTTGTGGTATTTGAACTATTATTTATCTATTTGGGTTTTTTCCCCCTTTTCTGGTCTTCTGTCTCGATCCAACAGATTCCCAAGTCATTAGATTTCAGTGGCAGTTCACGTGAGTAAAGGAGCAAGTTGAAGTCCACTTGGGTATATTTTAATTCAATAGTTGTTTATCTGATTATTTGAAGTTATAAAGACATTATTGCTTATCTGCTTAGCATCATTCCTTAGTATACTTATGTGAATGGAAAAGGATATCTCTACTCTTTGAGAGAGGGCAAGAATGGTGATTTAGTGGTAGAATTCTCACCATCCATGTGGGAGACCTGGGTTCTATTCCTGGCTAGTGTCCCTCAACACAGCCACCA